TCACCAGCAGGACTATATTGTGAGCCAACACGTTTTGTGTAATCTTTTTCTAAAAGCTTTAAATAAAGAAAGAAAATTGATTGAATGGATTATCTGTCGGTGGAGTGCGAAGTAACTTACACCTTTGAGTATACTAGTTGCCTCAGCTGATATATATACAGGAAACCATGGAATTTCATTGCAAATAGACCAGAAGAGCTCATCTTCATCACAACCACTAAATGGAGATTGTCCAATTAGCATTTCATATAAAAGTACACCGAATGACCACCAATCAACGTTTTGATTATACTTTTCGCCCTATAAGAAGTTATAATTTTTTATATGCGAAAATTTCTCATAGATGCAAAGTTTTTCTACCTTTATGATTTCAGGCGCCATGTAATCTGGTGTACCGCAAAAACTGTCCGCCGTTTTGTCCAGATATATTTGCAATTTACACATACCAAAGTCTGCAATACGTACATGACCTTCGTAGTCTAACAGCACATTGTCTAATTTGAGATCTCTGTGGATTACACAAAGAAGTTTTATTAGAATTAAATTAATATACATATTTTTATAAATTTATACTTGCCTGTATATGATACCTTTCTTGTGTAAGAACTTTAGACCTGAAATAATCTCGGCACCATAAAATCTTGCACGTTCTTCCGAAAAACGACCACTTTCTTGTATGTGGAACATGAGATCACCGCCATTTAAATATTCCATCACAAAAAATAAGTGACTCTTAAAAGATTTAAAAATTTTTATAAATTTATATTCAAAATTGTTGTTAATAGTTAAATATTAATTTTTGAATACACAAAAATGTAACTATGAGATGATTTACAGCTTAGAATGGCACTTGACGACTAAACATTTTTTCGCTAAATTTATTTAACGAGTATGACACTTTATATAAAATTATTCATTATAAAATTTATATCTTATAAACATTTATTTTATAGGTCAAGCCTTCTGTATGTATTAAGATATATATGATTTTAGAAAAAGATATATTTATTGCAGGAAAATGCATTTACTAATTTATGAATTGGTATCTGACGGAAAGGTGAAATTTATTCTTAAATATATAGCTATTTAAATTTTTCTATAATTTGATACCTAATCTCACTACTTGATCGATTGGCTTATTATTAAAGAATAAAACATTTAGATTTGAAATTTGAAAACATATTAGATAGGTTCTCTCATCTTATTCAAGCCAATTTACTAAAACTTATAATTTATACCAATTAAAAAAAACGGTAGAGTTTGAACATAGTTTAGACTATGTTCAGGACTATCAAATTTCAGTCGTGGTCTCGCGTGTTAACATACAAAGCCAACTTATATTAAATTCACATTATTCGGATTTCGATTTCTTTCAATTTTTGGTGTTTATTCGCAAATTACAATTGCACTTGCTGTGCTATTATTTGAGTTGTTTAAAACTAACACATAAACCACAGCTATATGAATGAACTTAACTATGATAAATTGTGGTTTTTTCAAATTTTATCAATACTGGTTGTAGAATTACGAGGGCGCTTTGATAAGTTAGTGACTTTTTGAATTTTCCGCGCAGTTACTCCAAATGCAACAGTGCTGCCGTCAGCTGTAATCTACCAGTAGGCAACTTTTTAATTTTGAGCAAGCTACGTCGTTCAGTTGGTGTTTGATAGCCGTTCAAAGTAGACAACCACGTGAATTTTTACGAAAATGGAAAAAAGTGAATTTCGTGTGCTGATTAAGTCACGATGGCCAAAATCCACGAATTGGGATACGAACTGCTACCCCATCCAGCATATTCTCTAGATTTAGCTCTCTGTGACTATTTTCTGTTTCCAAACCTAAAGATATGGCTGGGCGGTAAGAGATTTGAGTCGGATGAAGAAGTCATTACCGAAACAAACGCGTATTTTGAGACCTTTGAGAAAACCTATTATTTGGAGGGAATAAGAATATTAGAAAAACGCTGGACTAAATGTATCGAGCTAAAAGGTGATTATGTGGAAAAATAAAATGTTTATTTGCCGAAAAAATTTATTTTATTCAAAAAGTCACTGACTTATCAAACCGCGCTCGTACTTGATTTAAATCAATTGCGTTCAGCAAATATTTTGAGTTTGTCATTTAGTCGAATTCAGGGTCTCTTAAGCCGGGCAGTTTAGGCAATTACATTCTGTTCCATTTTTCTTATTTTAATTTTAAATTAAATTCCAGTTTTCTTCTTTTTAGATTTAGAAGATTTAGAAGAATTTGACAGATTGAGATCTTGATCGAATCCAGATTTACCAATCCAAAACACTATAAAAAGATACTTATTAAAGTTTTATAGATTGATAAAGTAATTTTATAAGTTAAAATAAGTTTAACCTTCGAAGGTTAAACTTAGAAGCCTAAGTTTAAGGCTATTCCCGTAGTTCCCGTAGCTAAACTGTTACCGATCTATAGAAGGTAGTATAATGGGCCATTATTTGAGTTCAAGTGGACTCTTTGGAAACAAGGCTGCCATTCCAACCTACCTAGAAGGTTGTAATACATTTGCTCACATTTGAGGGCAAAGAAAATTTGTTTTGCAAAAAAATCCCCGAAAAGTTTACGCAGCTTTGGAATAAGTGTACCACTCTGGAAGGAAAGTTATTTGAAAAATGGAGTCGCACGTCAATAAAAATTGTTTTTTTTTTGCTGGATTGGAGGGTTGTTCAGTATTAAGTTATAAGTTCAAATTATTAGTATATTAACACTTAAAGAAGATTTTCAACAACAATTTATATTTCAACCGTTTCTGAAATGCATATAAATAATTTTATTAATAATAGGTAAGTCTCAGTTTGGATTGATTAGTTTGTGTATCAGATTTGGAATATAAATTACCAGATTTATTAATTCCAACACATCTTCCAAAGCAGTTCAGTTTAAATATGTATGAAATTTTTGATCTTGTCTTGATTTAAAAAAATAAGTACCTAAACAAAATTTGTAATTAAACATATATACGGACTGACAAGTGCTAAAAGCTTACAATAAATTAAAATAAATTAATTAATAATTATGTAGTATTAAAATAAATTTATGCATGTGATAACGTTTTCAGTTTTCTATATCATAATTAATTAACAATAATTAATTCTCATAGATATGAAAATATAAAAAATTCCTATTAACAAAATTTTTGGTTAAATTTTAAAAATTTCAATGAGAAAACTAGACCAAGGAGCAAAATATATAAACAAAACAATAAGTTTTATCTTAAATTAACGAATAGTAGATAAAACAATACAAATGCGTAATCATGAACCAATTTTGTTTTGAACACCTTCCACAGAAATAGTTTTTCGGAAGTTATTTTAAAATAAAAAAAAAATGCAGTGATTTTTAGTAGCAGAAACAGTCTTCGCGTTTGTGGTCACCGATTCTGTTCTCATTGATAAGCAATTTGTACTAAGAGACATAGTTCCTCCTGTATAAATGTAGTACAAATTTCTGTGCCCTGATCTATAAAGTGGCCATCGAACTTTACGTGTTAGCATTCACAGTCGGTGGTCGAATTACTAGTACATACGAGTCTCCGTTAATTTTAGAATTTTACCTTTGAATTTATCTTTTATTTAATTTTGTTAATGTTTTAAAGGCGCGTATTTACTTATTGTTAGTTCTTATAGTCTAACAGGTGTTAAAGAAATAATTGATTCTACATAGTACCATATATCATCGTTGAATTAAATTAAATATTCATCGAATAAGGACTTTCTAAAAATATTAAATGTCTTATTATTATACTTTCTATAATAGATTCAACCAATAAAGACAATAAATATGTAGGGAACCATTAAAAAAAATGGTTTCTGAAAATGTGGATGGTAGGCCGTCACAGCATTTTATCAATTTCAATAGAATTATTTGGTATAAGAAATTATTTATTATTTATTATTCATTCAAAGAAATTCGTACAGCACTTACAAATAAATTATAGAATTTTATTTAAATTCTAAATTGACAATAGTATATTTGTTGTGTATGTGTTTTTTTTTTGTATAATAGGACATCAATATATCTCTAGCATTAGCATTGGCCAGATTCTTACTTTTATAAATGCCTCTGGCTGGTTGTAACTTGACCTTCTCTCTACTATCTCCTATTACGAGGTTTTGTGGATTCAAAACGGCTTTTTTAGCTAATTGAAGAGGACGCGTTCCTCCCTCTATCACAACTAACTAAATAACTGGGACATAAATAATTATGTTTATACGGAATCACGGCTGAAGTGGGTTATAGATTTTACAAACTTAGCTATTGTGTTACTTTACAAAAAACTGTTTGAATAGAAAATAGGACTTTCAGAGTCTGCAGTTAGATGGCATCGTCTATGTATAATTCCATTTAGAAGTTCACTATTTAAATTAATTTTGATTATTTTTTTTTCTATTTACAAAAACAATCTAAAAGAAATATGTTATTATGTCTGCCATTTCTGTACATTGTAAAACTCATACTCGTTGTCTTTAAAGTGTAGTCTATTTTTAACTATGAATAATTTTAAATTAAAATAATTAAACAAATCGTACTTTTATAGCTATTTAAAAGTTAACTACACTTGCGCCACGAGTAACAATTAGCAATGAAAATATTTAAAACAAATATATATATATAAAAAAAAAACAAAATTATATACAATATAAATTTAAGTACAAATACATTAATTTATCTTTAAATAAAAACAAATAAATAATATAATATATAATAAAGTTGAAAGCCAACAGTCGCTAGAGAACAAATAAATAAATCACTCCGCAAAATAGATACCAAATTGAATCTTATGAATCCTAAAGAAAATGTTATTTCAACATCTAAGACCGCAATTAGCAAGCATTTTCTGAGATATTTTTAAAATTTTTAAATTTGTTTAAAATTATTTGTTGCGAAATTTTCATATTTTGCAATTGCTATTAATTGCATTATGATTTCAGATAAGCATGAGCGTTTTTTTCAAATACGGACTTCGAAATATGAAATTACAATAATTAAATATTTGAAATATTTTGTATTTTGCACTTACCTCAGTTTGAAATGTACAAAACAGGTGACACAAATACGGATGCTTCGTACCCAAGGCCAGAACTTTACGCTCTATTAGTGTCGAGTCCACATCATCATCTTCAAGGACGACGTCTTTTTTAAGACATTTCACCGCATAATAATATGTCGTATCACGTAATTCAGCCAAAAGCACCTGAATGGATTAGGAATAAATTATTTAGCGGATTCATTTTTGGCAAAAACAATATGCATCATTAAATAAATCATTAATAAAAAATAATTACTTTAACATAAAAATTATGTTTCTAAATGGGGTATATAATTAGACAATCCAATAAGTAGTATTATTCACCGCGATTCTTATACCATCTTACTCAGTTTCTTTAAATACCATTATATTTTTTTAAAATAAATAATAATTTTGAATACATTATATTCATTTTTTTGAACAATTATAGTATAATAATCCTCAGTCAGTATATAAAACTCATTCGGTCTTATTATTTGAAAGTAATTCAAATAAAATATTCCAATATATCATATTTACCTAAAGATTTTAGTCTACGCAAAAACGTATATTAATAAAATATTTAATTAGTTTTTTTTAAAGCTCAGTTAATTCTAACTCTACCATTTACAGATCCTGAAATATGGCCATTAAAAAATTAGTCTAAAAGACAAATTCTTAAAACTCTTCAAACTTCGTTTGTAAATCTAGTACACTTCACTTCTGTGTTTATTTCTAAAGATAAGGTTAATTAATTATTAAAGCCTATATTTCCGGAATGCGAGAAGAACAAAGGGGAAAAACTTATACTATATTAGTAAATATAGTAAATCTTGTATTATTAAAATATTGACTGATCTTATGTTTTCAATTTTGTGTACTCTTGATGATGGCTTGGCATCCCAAAGAATAAACATGTTGTGAAGTTTTTAAGTCGTTTTACGAATAGTCAACATAATTAGTCGATTATATTGATCGCACTGTGTATAAATTTTCAACTGAGTACTCATTTTGGTAAATTAGTTCCTCATTACTGATTCAAAAAATAATTACTGATTCAAAAAATAATTACTGATTCAAAACAAACTTCCTATATATATTATACACCATTTGCGTATGGGTCATTCTTTTACAAATGGAAAATATTTTAACAAAAATTGACCTTATCACCATTGATAAGGTCAAGTTTTGATGCAGTATTGAATGCAGTATTTGATGTGGTGGTTTTAACCAACCATATTTCTTGAAATATGATGAAAATGCAAGTGTTACTATCAATAGTAGTCAATGGTACCAAATGCCATGATTTAAGGAAACCATCGTTTTATTCAAGTATTAAGTTTAAACATAAATGGACTGTACTTGAACTTAATAGTGTACTTAGATAGGCCAGCATCGATTTCAGCTAGCATCGGGCACACAGGTATTTCGTGAGATATGCTTTCAAATGAAAAGTAGGGGAAATTTAGAGTTCCAGATTTCAGTTTCTTAGACGTACTTGTGGTTACACTTTACCAATAAAAAAAATGTTGTTGTAAAAATATTCTTCATTTGGTTAAACTTAGAGACGTTGTGGAGAGCATATTGCTTTTATTTTTTTGCAGAATACAATAATGATCTACCGTTTAACTTTTAGTAGGCACAGAAGACTTACTATTGTAATGGCATTAATGCAAAATTTATACTTAATGAAAAAAGCAAATTAGGTAGGTAGATTATACCGGTGGTCCCAAAGGATCCACTTAGGCTTATAAGCCTCTTGTGTTACCGTATAGTTAAAAACTCAAGGGTTAGAATCAATAAGTACCTTTGGAAAAGCTTATAATGCGATTCCGGGGGAGGGCTTGCAGTTCAGCATGTGCTGGGCAGAAACAGATCAAAAAACGGTGTTCCTTAGATATTTTATTTATAAAAAAAACTTAATTGATAATTTTATTTATATTGGAAATTGTTAAATTTTTAATAATACAGCTATTTCATTTTAAAATGCATTTACTTTGAGAAGTAATTCCTTGATCCAAGAAATGAAAATATCGTTCTTATTGAATATTAATCGATATACGAGGAGCAAAGAAAGTCAATTTTGGAAAAAAATATTTTATAAATATGAATCGTTTTCTTGTAATCGAACTCTGAAGTGACCTGCCTTTTGATTTTGTTCGACAAAAACGCTCAAATTTGTTAGGATGCGTAAGTATTAATAAATAAATTTGTGTGTGTTTTTTTTAAAGAAGTTATAGATGTCTTAAAAATATATTTAAATATTGTTTATGAGCTGAGGATAGATTAAGGGCTTTTTTTATTGAAGCTCTTTTTTAATTTTTTTTCACACTCTCAATAAATACCGAAAACGTAGTTCCAACCGATTTTCTTTTGGTTCTTTGGCTAAGCATTAATCTTCGGAAACGTCTGTACATAGCTTTGATATTTTCAATTACTTCAATTACTTTCAATTATTTTCAATTACTTAATTGTTTTAATTAAGGATTTGGAATTAAAATTTTACTTATTGGTTTAGTGGTGGGTAGTGTTTCTAACTCACCTTGCCAAAGCTACCTTTACCAAGAACAGCCAGAAAATGAAAATCTTCCACAGTATAATTCTTGAATCTTGGTATAACTGTTGCGGGTGCAGTGAATCGGCCAGACTTTTGAAACTGTGAATATGTATATGATGTTTCTATAAAATACCAAAAAAAAAAATACAAATAAAAACTGTGTACTTTTGATATAATAACAATTAAATTTTTGCATTCAAAGTGACCATTTCTTTCTAATAAACACCTGAAAGTATCGTATTATATAAATAAATATTTAAATAAACGCAATAACTATAAATAATATATTATATATAGTATATAATATGTACATAAAACTTTAATTTGAAACATTAAGATTTTATTATATTTTTACACAATTAATATTGGTGTGAATTAAAATATTGTTTCAGTTGAACTTATGACTATTTTAGAAAAATATGCTCTAAAATAAATAAATATTTTAAGGAAAGTGTAATACTTTTTTTTGGTTGGTTGTTATAATAAATCCTTAAGTATTATTTACCTAATAGTATTGTACCTTTAAATTGAAATGCGAGGGACTGAAAAAAATCATTTTAAGTGAAACCTTTTAAGGCCAGTTCATCTAGCTTTTAACTACATATACCTATTAGCAATGATTTTTATTCCAACTGTCCATGTAGCTGTTTTGTATGTATCTAAATATCGTTTAACAGTGAATTGTGCACAAATGATATTCAAGTGAATTTTTGTAGTATTATACTATGTTCAGACAGCCAAATTTCGTGTAAATGAAATTAAATTAAATTCGAACGTGTTCATACTTCCTTTTCAAGGTCCATATTTGGATCCAAGCCCACATTGAAAATGCATTGATCAAATTTGAAATTTTGGATTGATTCTTACTGTAAGCATTTTATAATTTAAAATTTTTAATTAAAAAAAAAGCATTTACTTATAATCATAATCAGTTTTCTATCATAATCAGCTTGACTTTGGAGTTTTTTATTAGTGCTTTGTAAGGATATTAATAATATTATTGGAAGCAAGTTCCTATTTAAAACAACAGAGAATATGTAAAGTTGGCTATAGACACAATATAAGTTTTATGTATCCTTGATTTGTAGTTCATATTACCGGAAGAATAAAAACATTTCTATATAGATGATATGATTCGTTATTGTTAGATCTCAAGTTTATGCAATTGCAATTTTTGTCTAATACCTAAAGAAAGCAGGACCTGGATTAAAACTTGTTTTGAAAAAATTAAATTTATTTATTATTAGTTACATTCAAATAGTTATATATAAATAGTTATATATAAAAAGTTATATTGTTATATTCAAATGGGTTTGTATTAAACGAAAATATTAAAACACATTAAATTAAAGTTAAGTGTGCACTTTCTGATTTGGCTCGATGTAGTCCATCTAGATCTGATGTAAAATCATTTTGAAACTGATTTAAAATAAAATGGAAATTAATTTATAAAAATTATAAAAAATTAATAGCTGTTAAATTGGTTTGTTATATGAAAAGCTTATTAGACCTACAAATGTGAAAAGATATATGTTTTATAATAATAACTTAACTCAAATATATATATATATATATAATTTTGCAAGTAATAGGTTCACATATATTAGTCAATTAAATAGGTTTTAATATAAAATATCATACCATCGTGGTCATCAGTTGCTTCGATTTTGTATGCAGGATTCGAACTTGGTGGTGTACTAGGAGAATCTCTAGCTTCTCGAGCACCTGTACATATTTTTATTGTTATAAGAATTAGTGCGCATAAATAAATTTCAATTTGTAAATAAAAAATTTATTGTCAATATCACAGACATTTTCAAAAACATTTCCATTGGAAAAATATATCTATAATATATAGTATATTGTTGAACTTGTTTATTTATAACATTTGCTAAATGCATGAATGCTTGTACTTGTGGAATGAATATATCAATTTAAAAGATAAATAAAATTTATTTTTGGGTAAAAAATATTGATCACGTGGTGGTGCCATCAGTCAAGCAATCAGTTATTTTCCTGTCAATAGTCTGATTATTTTTGTCTACATTTTTATAAATAAAATTCTAAGAAATTGAAAGTAATAAGACAAGGTTTCCTTTGAAAAATATTTTGATCTAATATTTTAAAAAATTTTTTGGCACATTTTTCATTAAGATCACTTTTTTATAAAAAATATATAAAAATTTAAATATTAAATGACCTTTAATGTTGATTTTCAAAATCTAATTTTATTCAAAATCCTAATTTTATTAATATTAACTATTTACAAAACTATTAAACGTTGAGATTTATTTTATTAGTAATTTGCTTTGCTATATTTGTATGTTTGTATATAAATATACTATACTCTGCCTCAAAACTATTTACTTATTTTTAAGATGTAAAAGAAAATTACTTATAAAAGCAATTTGCAGATCTAGAGAAAATTTCTTATTTATCTAATTTAAATATTATTTTGTTTGTTTTAGATAAACAAATTGAATTCCCTCGGGTACATCTGTATATCTCTACATTAGTACATATATGAAAACATTCTGTAAGTTTTGTTGAAAATTAAAAAATTAAAAAATTGAAAAATTTAAAAATTGAATTGAAATAAAATGGAAAAGATAAAAATAATAAACAAAACCCCTAAAAAATAGGAAATCGAATTGGAAAATGCATGTGATATGATGTTGTGGTGTTGTGATGGTGTGATGTTCAAGTTCCCAATTGCGCCGTTTGAATTCACGCGAAAAAGAACGTTTGTACTTGTAAATCAGATCTTCAGTTATATACGTTATAGATGTTCTTTTTTAATCGAATTCGTTGCGTGTATCTGTTTATCAACTTTTTGAAATCATATATTATTTTTACCTCTCTTCACGTAAGCCAAAGCTTCGACGATTAGTTTCTGATTAACGCCGCATAAATTGGCCGTCAAACGCTCGCATTTCTTGTGACAATTAACGTCACACTCTGCTCGAGTCGAAGAGGAATTTGGCGATGATGAGGACGATGGGGACGATGGAGACGAGGTGAAGAGCAGAGCACATCATCGTATCAATGATAAAAATAAGTTTTGGCAAAATAAAAATATATAAAAATATGTATATAAATTAAAACTTATTTGTTAATACACAATTTATTTAAATAGCATTTGTTTGATTTCAAAAATTATTAATTTAATTTAAAAAATATTCATTTGATACACGTCTTTATGTTCATAAAAAGTATATATCACATTTGTCTTGGACATATTTGAATGATATTTTATTTTTTATTAAATTTTTAAGAATTATTTTTTTTAATTACACAAATAACTAATTTTATTGTGTTTAATGCCAAAAAAAAATTAATTAAGACACACGTATATAATTTTTTGTATATTTAAAAGTAATAAATTCAATAAAATTATTTTTATTTACATTAAATCTATAATTTATATCAAGCTAAATGTCACTAGATAGTCAAATAAAATTAAAATTAGTTTTATGATTTTTAAATTTAATAGCTTTTGAAAGTTATTATTGATATTCACGGTCTCTCAAGAATATCAGTTTGCATGGAAATAATGAAATTTATAGCTGATAAATTGAAAGAAACGTATTCACAATGAAGAAACGAATTGCCGATGAAAATAATTTTACCTCTTGAGAAGTAAAGAACTCTACTTCCTAACGATAGAGTGACATTATCACTTTATTGCTAAAGTGATAATATCAAGAAAACTCACACTTTACTCATTCTAATAGCAACAACGATGTTGGCGTTATAATAAAGAAGAATAAAGTAGAAAAAAATGCTAAATTTTATAGTTATAGTTAAAAATCTAGTAAATATTTGAATAGCAACACAATATCTAGAATTATTCTAAATTATTTTTGGAACCACTCAAAACAACGTTATCTAGTCACAACGATACAATCATGAATTGGAATTTTTATTTGATCATCCTAATATAATCACAGTTATTAAAACAAATAAGTTCAGATGAGAAGGGCACATCATAAGAGCAGAACAAAATTACACCCCAAAACGCATCATGATTGGACAGTATGCAGGAAGTAGAAGCAGAGATTGTCTAAAACTAAGATAGATAGAGGTAGTTGATCAGGAACCAGAAGTTTTAGATTTGAGATGTTGGAGAGTGAAAACGAGAGTTCGAGTCGAATGGAGACGTATACTACATCAAGCAAAAACTCGTAAAGGGTTATCTAGCCAATGATGATGATGATTCTCAACCATTATTTAAGCTAAACTGAAACTTTCTTTATTCAATGATAGTAATATTATAGTTAATGCTAGGTCCGCAGACAGAAATAATTTTCAGAGAGAGTGATTTTATATAAAATATTAAACTGTCATATATGTCATACATGATGGGACATGTATGTATTTATATATAGTACTTCAGTATATAAGCATATATATGTACTTCAGGGTGAGGACTTGAAGTTATTTCTTCCGTTTGGCTATATCCTGCTAACTGAGCTATAGAGCAAATAAGTTAAAACTTTTTATTTTAATTAAAAAAATAATTAATCTCTTTAATTTAAAATAGCAGTAAAGTTGTCACACAGTGTGCAATTGGAATGCATATTTAACTTATGCATTAAGCTATTTCATTTTGGAATAGTTGAACTATTTGCATCTAAGATTCTTAGTGGTTGTACATTGTGATACCAATAATAGATTAAAGTAGTTATCAAGATTATCACTCTAACTTAGTTGTTAAGTTATAGACTAACTACTTATTATAAATATTGACTATTGTTATTAACAGCTGATTTAGAAGATGATATGAGAATAATATATAATCGCACAAATTAAGTTTTAAACTATCAATACGTAATCCCTGTATTTAATACTGACTTTTACTTGATTCTAGAACATGTAAAAATATCGCAAGTTTATGCTTAAGTATTTTTTTAAATATTTTTTTTAGCCAATCAAATAAATAATACTTCTTTGTCGAATTAGTTTGAATTTGTTATTATTTTAAAATTAAGAAATAAAAATAATTAAACTAATAACTAATTTTGATGTAAAATAAATAGTATATATATATAAAGAATGCGTATATTCTTATATATATAATTGTATTTAGTTAATAAAAAATTATTCTGCTAACAGTAAAAAA